GAAACAGCCTCCTGTTCATATCGTAGAGGGGCGGCCAGTATAGGGAATCGCTTGTCAGCGTGAAGCATATAATTTGCAGTTATTAGATATGACACAATTTTGCCAGTACTTCAAAAGCTGATAATAACTACCGGTAGTTGTTGAGTATTGTCTAATCATGCATTGACCTCCGTGTCATTTCATTCAGTATGATTTAAAATCCGCATTGTATTTCGTTCCAAAATTTTTCAGCTGCCTCAAGTTCGAAACAGTTTCTTTAGTGAAGAAATTTTATAAAACTTTTAAGGGTGCCAACAATGTAAGATAACTTTAGTCTCATCATTAAGTAGGCGTAACAAAAAGTAACGATTTACTTCCTCAAATTGAAAGGGGAAGTTTGCAAGAATTAAGATGGCTGTTTCCCTGCGCTTCCTCCATTCGTAAAATTTTTGATGTTACGGCGCTGATCTGGTTAACGAGTGCCAAAGCCCACAGTCAAGAATGCCATGTTTCTCGAAGACGATGCTCAGAACTTGGTAGTCAATACTGCGGGTTTTCTTCGTTCCCACAATCGATATTTATTTATCTATCTCGAACAGTGTCCGCAATGAACGCAGGATCTATATTCTTTGTTCGTTTCTCGCGGCTGAAATATTTTTCGTATGTGCATTTTATATCATTGTATACCCATCGTATATAATTGATACCCACCATTACGCTATAGTTTTGCCGAAAATCTGATTGGGAAATCATGTCTGTCAGAATGTCAGGATTCCTGTTTTAAATCATGATGATTAATGAATTTATGGAATTTGGAAGTACCTGCATAATCACGACAATGTCAGCAGAATGACTGACATTTTGGCATGAGTATGGGTATAAATAAAAATTATTTTTCCAGGCAAAGCAGAATCAAAGATTCGTAACGTTCGCGAACAACAAAGTGTTCCTGTCGTAGCGCAGTAAAGCCTGCCTTCCACCCAGTTTCGAAAAAGTGCAATTTTCTACTATTCGTGATAAGTTGTTACGTTTGGTCATAATTATTTTTATGCCAGGTTTTTAATATTACTTTATCTGTTATGTACACATGCTGAACGTTACTGTCTAGAAAAAGGCTGTAAAGATTCTTCCCAAAATCTTTATGCTACCGTTTACTATACATAAAATCAAAATTGGTCCCATAGTATGCAAAATCCAGACATCTAAATAACAACAACAGTAGAACAGAAGCTGGTAAAAAGTAAATAAATAGGAATAGGAGATAACAGACGCAGATCAATTTGAGACCCGCTTTTACGCAACGTTCATTTTCTAATGGCGCAGGCGATGTATAAACAAACAATCTTGTGAGTTTATCGTCAGCTAAGCAGATTCTGCAAGCATCATCAGCTACTCTTTGTCTAGTCTGATCTCCAGAATCGCCGGGTACATTTCTATGACGCGAGTCAAAATGCCTTCAACGTAAACGCGCAACTTCTGATTGACAGTTTCTTGTTCCTTTAGGGACTCCATTAGCTAAAAGGTTGTATTACAGATTAACTCGTCTGGTGTACATAAAATGTTGCATAAACCAAAACCTATGCAAGCCTTATGAATAAAGGGCCCGGGTACCGAGTAGCATGTTCGGGTGAAACGATGTACAGATACTCTACTTAGAAGCTACATAAAAACTTATTATAAACTCTAAATGCCTAGACTAATGACTTATCGCTGATAGCCTACCTGACAGGCGTCCTCGTGCTTTTAGGTCAAACGTGATAAAGGGCCTTGTAGGAACAAGGTATTATGACTGAAAACTCAGACAATTTTCGACGACCGTAGTTTTCATATGCTGAGGGACCAAAATGCATAATATTTTAAATTCGTGATCCAAATACTGAATTTGAACTGGACTAGTCCGCGCGAGAAAAGTTGTCTGAACTGATAACTTAGAACTCATGAATAAACTGCAGTTAAAAGTTCTGCATGTCACAGCTAAGGGAAATTGAAAAGCATATGACAATAGGAGGTACCGTCAATTCCTGAGCTATCGAAAGTCACTTGTTAGCACTGACCAATACATAAACCGCATGAAAAGTAGGTTCTTTATTTCGACATTCTGGTTCAGATAAAATGGTTACCTGGTCCCTAGACATCTTCTCGACGCAGAGTTCATCGGCCAGCGATATGCCATCTTGAAGAAGGGATTTCCCGTGGTCCACCGACGCTTGAAGTAGTTCGGCGTGCAGTTCGTCATTAGTTGCCAGCAATTTCTTGCGTTCTTCCCTTAACCGCTGAACCTCCTGAGCGATTTCGTTGTTTGGGTCCTCGATCGTAGTGGAATTGCATAAATCATGCTCGCGACTTATTTCCTCAAGTTGTTCTCTAAATGAAGAAATACCTCATCAGTAAACACAGTCAAAGATGAAAAATTATTTTTGATAGTTTTTTAAGTAGTTTTAAGCAGGAATCGATTAAAGCAGTTCAAAATGCAGTATCAACAAGAAGTCGTTTAACCGGAATAAACATACCGAAGTTCGTCGATCGTGTCTGATGCTTCGTTCAGCCTTGCTCGGTCTTCTTCCTGCAGACGACTGCATTCGGCGGATTTTTCGGCCAGCGTCTGATCACTGATCTTCAGTTGATCAAGGGATTCCTCCAACTGCAGAGATATTCTATTGAATTTCTCTCGCAGTGCCTCTAGTTCACTTTGCAACCTCTGTTTCTCCGCAGTACAGCCCTCATGGTCTCGCTCTAACAGTTTATATCGCAGTGCCGATGCCTCCATTTCAAGCTGTCTTTCACGAGATATCCGTACCAACATTTCCTTGTTCTTACGTTCTGCTTCGTCCAAGCGCTGTTTCCATGCCTGCTCGCTAGTCTTAAAGTGAATAAGGAATTGCAAGTCCACTGCGCTGATATTCTCTCACCTGAAGCTGTTCTTCAAGCTGATTGACTCGTTCTCTTAGGATTGCATTGTCCTGCTTCACTCTGATGTACTGATCATCGTTGTGACCTTGGTTCTCTTCCAAGTTCAACAGCTGCTGACGTATCTTTGTAATCTGCATGTTCAACTCAGAAAGTTCTGAATGGTACTCTGCATCTGACACAGACACTACGTCAACATCTGAATTGAAACTGCTCCGTCGACTGCTTTCGTTCGGTGAATATGCTAAACGGCCATGATACAGGTGGCTACAAAACACCAGCTATCAGAAAATCAAAATCAAAAGCCTTGAAAATAAGCTTAAGATGTCATTTCGTAAATTAAATAAGAGGTAAAGAGCGATGCGGCCTAAAACGTTCAGATGCTTGTGGACATAAAAACAAAGCTTAAGCTACGTAGATATGTTAAAATTAGACAACATTATAAACGACGAAAAATTTCCAAAGGCGAAAGTAGTGAAAGCTGAAAGTCGAATTTAAACTTTTTTGCTTAATGGTCAATGAAAGGTCATGTGAGGAGTTCCATCGCTAACTCGACAAAGAATTAACAGGAAAACGGTGGTACTTCAATTAAATAAGTAATCAAAAGCATCTAGTTTGGTCAGGGGCAGAAATTCCTGCCTAGACACCATATTTCATGGACTTGTTAATGAAAATTGTCGTTACCAGTCAGACGATCAATTCTTCTATTGCTCTGAAACGTCATTTAACATCATTTAATAATAACGTCATTTAATAACTGGCAATAAAGATCAAAAGCCGTTTCTTTATGCAAATTAAAATACTCCAAGCGAGTTCCCCGCTTAAAAACAAGCTGCGCAGTCAAACAGGATAGGAAGTGTTCCAATAACTCAAAGCGAACACCGTCGATATGGATCGCCGCCGTCGCAATAACCTCATCATGAAAACCTCAGAAGCAACTGAACGTTACGCATTCGCAACAATGATGCATTAATTAATATGGCGTTTCTTCAAGTTATTATAGAAACAAAATGGAACATTATATAAAGCGGTCTTTCGGGATATAATGCAGAGGGACTGTCAGAATATCTAACGAGAAAAAAATCCACTGAAATGATTTGGGCAACCATAGCTGGGCGAAAGCATTCAAAGCATATCAAGGAAGAAAGTGTCAAAAAAATCTATGCGTGTCCATTCTAAGTTCTAAGTGATTAACCCATTTAGCGGTTCTAGCAGAAATTTGTAAAAGAATGAAGATATTTAAAGCAGACTTCAGTCAACTCGATCTTTATCTCCATGCTTACCTACGGTCAAGAGTCGTGGACCATGACTGAAAAGCTTCGAATCCGAGTATCAGCTATTACGAAAGTATATCCGGAATACTGACATCAGGGAGAGCCCTGGTGTACAGCCGCTGCATCTCCAGGTTGGAAAGTCAGCTGCGATGGTTTGAGCATGTGTTCGAATGCCAGAAAGAAAGGCGAAGCAACAATTTCTTGCATAGCTGACCGGCGGAAGGTCTAGCAGATGGCCATGATTAACCTTGTGCAAATATATGGATGGGGTCTGTTCCAGATTCCAGTGGTCTTCTGCTGAAGCTCATACTCTGGCACGGGATCGGGAACGTTGGAAGCTTTGTCTGACGCGTCTGCCTCTGCGACCCAAAACGAGGAGCGACCGTGTAAGATGAAAAAGATGAAGATATCTAACTTGTGAGGCAAATGCTTGATGAAGTCGAGAAACTCAGTTGGCAGATGACTTACTTGCAACCTATTGACCATGGTAAGAAATCCATTCGCCATCTTAGCCATCTTCAAATATTCGAGGTACATGAATGAGCACCGCTACCTGAGAATAAAAAGAAACGTCTGGTGAGCCGGACAGATATGCCGCAGAAGTTCCTCCCGTGGGGTGAGATGAAGAGGCTCAGACAAGGTTGGTGAACTTTACCTCAACAAAAAGCTTGCCTCTATTCTTGAATTCGATCGGCTAGTTGAAGGATGTGAAAGACTACGTTTCACGAAGTATGGCACCAGAACGAACTGATTATGAAACTCGTCAGCAACAGGTTCCAGGTTACATACGGAAGAATGCCGGGGCCGCAGTTTCACGTTACCGCATCGGCTTGCCAAAAATAGGACTACTTACGACCCAGTGATCACCAGGATGTGACTGGTAAGCGGTGAAAGGATATCACGAAGATCATCGCTAGCCATAATGCGAGAACTGTCGATATCTACATTATCGAGGCAAAGAAGATAACAAGGATATGTTCCCAGCATGTGCGAAGGCCAGAGATCCGTCGATCTCATCGAACGATGATCATCTATTTGTTTGGAAAAAGAAGGAAAACTAGGCTCGGACATGCAGTGTACGATTCATCGCACATTAAAGGGTAGTACCGTACTTTGCCACTGCAACCTCAGGTCGCCGTACGGGTGAAGAGAAGTTCACTAAAGATGATCTAAGTTTACAGCGCAACACAAAATGGGGACGATGAAGAAGTGGAGCAATTGTACGAGAAACTGGAAGTGGCCATGGAAAAGAGAAACAAGTATACAACTGTCCACGGAGTATTCAAAGCCATAGTAAGAAAGAAAACAACAGACAGAGCGCTTCATCGGTGGATTTGGAATTGGAGAGGGAAACGAACGCGGTGTTTGCCGAAAGTAACCGCCTCCACATCATGAACACTATGTTTGAAAAAGCCGGGAAACAGCGGTGGAGGTGTAAGATTCCAAATGGAACGACCCTTAACCAAATGGACTGCGTTCTGACAGACAGAAGGCGGGGGAAAAGCAGATGTGACTGCCGCTGAAGAACACATCGTCTGCACGGGGTCAAACCACAAATACACAGTTACAATTGATGTCGCTAAAGAAGCTCCGATTAGAAGGACTCAAAGACCACTGGCGATTGGAAAAATATTCGATCGTGAAACTTTAACAGACAAGCTTCCTGAGCTGAACCTCGCCTTAAACATAAGCAGATGACGATGGAGATATCGCTGAAGAAACAACACACAAGCCCAGCAACGAGGGAATTGTTGGCCAGAATAGCTAGAGAAAGGCTGATGGGCAACAAGACGACGAGTAAACTGCGCTATGTAAAAAATACGTTTAAACATCCCGGAAAACTATGACAAGTAGAGGATAACGAAGCTACGAGAGGCCGTATTAAAGAAGAATAATCTAAAGGCCGCGGAAAAGGGCAATGACCTAAAAAGGCGGATTCCGATAACACTCAAGATGAAGAATGAACAAAAATCATAGATCGCTGTAGCGTGAATGCGATCAACAAGAGGTTCTACAACAAACTCTGCTCCTCTAAAGTAGACGAAAACTGGAAGCTGCAGCGTTACCTCGGAAACCATTTCGATGTCACCTTGGACCAAGCAGAATAGTCAATCACGGATATCAAGACTGGCATAAAACCGAAGCTTCTCAAATCAGGAGGAATGACACTGTCGAACGCCCTTGCTAATTGATTTACGGGTTAGATCACGATGAAGGAAGGCTCAACAGTCGGAAGAGCTCTTCCACGATTCTTCTACTCAAGAAAAGTGATGCCAAAAACATCCACAACTATCGATCCACCACTCTCCTGTCACAAATCTAATAGAACTTTACCAAAATCATCTTCAACCGTGTCCGCGAAGACCTGGAATTTCTCGTAAGTAGAGAACAAGCCGGCTTTCGAACAGGGTTCTA